ATCTCAAAAAACAAACTATGAAAAAAAAAAAAAAAAAAAAAAAAAAAAAAAACCCCACTGGGCCAATGAAAAAACAAACAAACAAAAAATTGAAAGACAGAACTAAACTACCATTGCTATAAGGAATCAGTCTTAATGGTTTGGATGCTTGATGCACAGCTGAGCATCCCTTCTGCCTTGAGTCTTAGCAAGCTCAGAGCCAGGTCTGTAGCCTCCTTTTCTCTAGTGTAGCACAGGCTAGCCTGCTGGAAATCGCCTGTATTTGTCTCTCTCTTGGACTCTATGTGATCCTTTACCTAGATTTGCTCTTTTCTATGCTTCATTCAATTATTTAGTTTGTATTCTAATCTACTTTAAATAGCAGAAAGCAAATAAAAAAGGAAGCTGGATTTTTTTGAAATGATAAAATAATTATATTTCTCCATTCTATTTTTCTCCCTCCTTGCTCTCTTTAAAATTCGTAGCATTTTATTTCATTAATTGTTATTGCATTCATATATATGTATGTATATAAATATACAGATATATACATATATTCCAAAATATAACCTTCTCAGACTGTATAATATTACTTGTATGTATGTTTCCAGGGCTGGCCATTTGTCACTGGATGATGAATTGGTTTTCTCTTTCCTGGGGAAGACTGCCTTTCCTGCTTCCAGCTTTCCTCAGTTGCCTATAGTTTTTTGTGTAGCGTTTAGGCTTCATGAGCTTTTCCTTGTCAGTTTTGTCATGTCCATTGGCATCATCCTCATTCATCTCACATTTGGGAAGTCATGTTAGTGAGACTTTATGGATGTACCTTTGACATTACTAGGAGACACAATCTTATAGCAAGCTCCCTAGTCCTCTGGCTCTTACAGTCTTACCCCCTCTTCTAAACTGTTCCCTGCAAGCTTCCAAAGGCAGGATGCAACTAGTAGTCTTATCCAGCTATGATGCCCATGAACTGCATCAGTGACCAGCATGGCATGCTAATTCTAAGGATGCAGTGGCACCTTAGTGGAAACTAACAGCTCTCTGACTGCACTTAAGATCGGCTCAACAGGAGGGAAAACATGCCTAATACTGGAAACCAGCTAACTACTCAGGGAAGTCATGACTATTGGAGGGGAATCCACAAGCACTAATTACTAAACCAGCCCAATCCCTAACAACAATCTATAAATATTGTCCTTATATCCACAGATATATATATATATATAGTCTTTACTCCTCAACAAGCTGGATTTTCAATCCCCATATGACTAGATACTGTAAAATTGGCATAAAGATGGGGTTCCTGTCTAAAGAGTTCACACAGAGGAGTTACAGTCCACAGACATAAATGGTAATGCTGCTTTATTAAGTGATATCCAGGCAGCACTTATCCTATGTCTTCTATGAACCACCAGTTCTTTTAGAGACTCAAATGAACTCTGTTTGATGTGTCTATGATCATGTTGGGTTGTAACTGTGTGACTGTACCTGAGTAGCTCTGTTCAGTTTTCCTCACATACTTTTCCAATATATTATAAGGGAAAACAACAATTAGAGTGATAGGCAGAGCTTTACAACCAGACCACAGCACCAGCAATGCCAGGAATGTGCCAGGCAGCCCTGATATCAGCTTGAGATAAACTGGCTATGTTCCAGCTTAGTGAAGTCAGTTCTGTCTTGACCATTATATACACCCCTGTTTCTCACTTAAAGCATTTTGATGATAGCCAGGACCACATTTTTGTAAGTAAGTTCTCAACACTTGCAACCCTGGATATGACTGTTTCTTTCTTAGGACTCATGCACCTTGAGCTGGCTCTTATACAATGAAGCTGGGTTGTTTTGGAACAGCCCTGAAGATATATATTTCCTCAGCCAGAACTCAAGACTACAAGAAGACAAATATGTAAGGAAATGACTACACTAAAATGTGATTCATTCTCAAATCGAGTATGTATAAAATGCTGTGAAAACACAGATGAGGGCCAATTAATTATATCTGGGATAGGAATTATATCTGGGAGAGTTACAGAGAGGTGATGACATTTCAGCTTGATCTTGTGCATAACAAATGACTTCCTATAAGATATTCTCCACCTGTTTTGAATTAACTAAAATGATTAGGTCTTAGGTTTTTATAAAGGTCATCTCTACCAGAATGAAGAAAGTGGAAGGCTCTTGTGAAAATAACCATTTAAAATATATCAGCCTGATTTTGAATGGCTACCAGAACAAATTAGTGCTAAAGTTCATGAGAATGACTAGATTGGGAGAAAATTTCCAGGGATTTGATAGACAATACTACACACACACACACACACACACACACACACACACACAAAGAGAGAGAGAGAGAGAGAGAGAGAGAGAGAGAGAGAGAGAGAGAGAGAGACTACCCAGTATAATTAACATAAAGCAGTAGTATTAGCTTCCTCCTGGACTATATTGCCTCTTGGTCTGTGCTGTTTTAGGCTTAAGTATATCAGGGAAGGAAAGACAGACTAATGGGATGAACAGAGACTTGATTCACTTGATGGAAGAAGCAATGCTCTGTTTTCTAGACTGCTTCATTTTCCTTCTGTGTTTCCTATTTCCTACTGCCCTTGCTGATGCCTGCTATTGGCTGTAAAAATCTCCTCTTCTTGGTCATTTACTCTCTTGTCTCCCTTCCATGAGGATGTATGTGGAGGTACCATGTTGAAGTTTCACTTGAGAGATGGAAGGAGCTTGAGTCACTGGGGTGGCATAGAGAAGAGTTCCTTTGGAAAACTGTTTAACACAGGACATCCAGGCTGGATTTCACATGAGCGAAGCTTCAGCTTGTGTTGTACAAAGTCATTGAAATGTGAGGCTGCTTGTTATGGCAGCTATTCTACATTAGTATAGCTATCATGTGGTAAATGATGGAAGTCCTCATCCATCAGTGTTAATCTCCTTCATCTCCCTCTATCTAGCCTCAGAATCATGTAACACATACTTTTTAGGTCATTTAAGGAGTATTTTCAGAATCCACAAGTTAGGACATTCTCTTTAGATATAGAGAAAGGATGTAATACAATTGCAATCTATTAAGTATGCACAAAACAGATCATTCAGTTATCAGAGGAGGCTATTCATATAGCACATGTGTAGAATAGCTCAGACTGGGCCAGATGTGACCAAGGATACACACATGTAATGTGAGGTGATCATGTTTGTATAAATGTTTGGCAGAGGGCTTCCAGCATGCAAGGAATGGATCGGGGCATTAGCCTGGATTCTAGGAGGCCTATATTTGTTTGGCCGAAGGGTGTGGATGAGTTAGGACTATATATCTGTGACATTTTCATGGAACTGAACAATTTACTCTGTCAGGAATATTTCAGAAGCAACCTCTTCTTATAGTAAGCAAGGCAGACCTATGTTTTGCCCACAAGAATCTTACACTCTAATAGGAAAAGATTAGTATTTAATATGCAGCAATGGGTGTAGTCAAGAAGGTAGGGCTGGGTATACTACGTCTATATTCAGCATTTTCTTTTCTTTCTGAGCAAAAATATATGGCAATACTTCTGTTTTTTAAAACAAAAGTAACATCAAAATGAATTTTCTGTAATGTGCAAAATTAAATTTGGTAGTTAAAAAATGCCTGTGATTTATCTCTTTGGCCATAATGGATGAGATGTAAAGGGGGAGTTGAGAATAAGGATTGGAAGTGCAGGTCAAAATTCTGTCACAAATGTGATGATTTATGAAGGTGCTGATGGGGCTGTTAAAATGCATTAATCTGTGAATAGGTAGCCGTATATCTCTATGGGCACTCATACCCAAGAATTTCCTTTTGAAACCTATCACTAGGTTTCTTACTGCCTGAGGCCTTTTAAATGACTTAATAAGGTGTCAAAATTAGTAAATTATGGAGCCTGTAATTATTGAATTGGTTTTCTTACATTTAAATCCCCTTGCCTCCAATCTACTGCTCATTGCTATGAGATTAGTTTCCTTCAGCTCGGTCCATTGTACTTAGTTACCCTGTTTAAAATACTTTTAGTGGCTCCTGGGTTTAATGAATTGTATCTGCTCATAAGAGTATTACAACACCCTTTGTCTGGCCCCATGTGGATTTCTAATTGCATCAATAAGCACCCTTGCCCTGTCATCCCCCAAATCCCGACTCCTCCCCAAGTCCCACAGGGCACTCCATGCCTGCCCTAGTTGACTTCTTCCCACTCTCTCTAGGCTGTGCACTGACTCCCCACCCACTGTGCTTCCCGAACACCACTTGGTTCTGTCAAGTATGATGTAATAGGGGCTGAAGCTGAGCATAGAATCATTAATGCTTAGCATCATATTGGTTACTAAAGATGATCCTAAATGGGGCATCCAGGGGGTGTCTGCCAATCTTGATATAGCAGTCTGATAGCCTACTCAGCCTCTTCTCTTTGCCTTTCTACCCAGACTGCTTTGAAGACACATTTTTCCCAATCAGCTTCTTCTGATACGTATTCTACAGAAGAACAGGGCACAGAGACTGGTCCACGGATTCCTAAGATTCTGGAACTGAAGATCTTTGCCTCTTGATTTGGTAGCTGTCAATCATCCATCATCCTACAAGATGCAGAATTCCAACAGGCAGCTAACTACAGCAGAGTGAGGATATTTGCATTTTTAATTTTATAAAATTTTTGTTATAAAACCCTTGCAAATAAATAAAAATACCACACACCAAGATTAACCCAAGTTTTAAACAGTTATTCCTAGGCTATTTCATTCTGGGCAGCACTACTCCATGGTGGAATACACTGTGAGACAATCTTGGTGTCACTGTGGAGTCCAAAAAGCAGTGTAGTTAGGGAGAATGGTGGATCCTTTGTGGGTACAGTGCAGTCTTTGACAACTGCAAGAACAGTTAGATGCTGTTGGGAGTCTGGGGACAGCTACACGAATACCTTTAATATCCATTCACTGTTTTCTTTTTTTACTTTATTAAAATAGTGAGTTTATGTCACATGTATATTTGTCTCCCTACCATTTCCACATCTGACCACCACTATTACTATGTCCTATCATAACATTCCATACATACTTAAAACCAAGTAAAGGGTGGAGTTCCATCCTTGAAAGCTAAACAGGCATTTTAGACAACACATTCTTGGCAATGGAACCTGGACAACATTTATCAAACACAGTAGGGAAAGTTCTCACTTTGCATTATCAAAAGGACAGCCAGATATATCAACTGTTACAGAAATTAAGTAAGATGGAATTATTTCAAACTGTTTACACCATTTTCTTAAAGAGACTTCCTCCACTGCCAGAGATCCTGAATAGCCTCCTGGTCAGTCATCCGGAAGCAATTCTTCACATAATTAATCAACTTGGCTTCCACTTTGGGAAGAGAACCACCTTTTTTCTATACTTGCTTGCATTTTTGCCTTAATGTCTTCTACAGAACTAGGTCCTTTTGGTGTTTTAGGAGTCTTTTCCTGTTTTTTGAGAGACTCTTGACCCTTTGATCTTGGTGTTGATGGTTTTAAGTCTTTTCCATTTTGGTTTGATTTTTGTGCATTTTTGGCTGGGGTATCTGGTACAGATTTCTTCACTGGAACTTTTTCTTCAGCTTCCTCATCATCAAAATCATCATCATCATCATCATCATCATCATCATCATCATCTTCATCATCATCCTTGTCAAGTTTTACTTTTTTCTGCGGAACCTTGTTACCACCTCCAGGAGCAGATCGTTTTCCAGGCATACTTAAGAGTTTTACATCCTCCTCATCTTCATCTTCTGACTCTGCATCTTCCTCTACAGCTACTAGGTGCTGTCCACTGATGTGCACAGGCCTGAACCACACTTCAACCTTAAGACCACAGGTGGTGAAATTTCAAAGCCCCCAATAGAAACTGTTGGTTGTACAGACATTTTCAAAGTTGCCAGTGTTACTTTAATTGGACCGCCTTCATAGTTCATTGCTTCTGCCTCTACGATGTGCAATTTGTCTTCTGCCCCTGCCCCTAAACTAACCGTTCTTAGTGATAACTGGTGCTCATTCTCATCATTATCCACCTTAAAGTGATAATCCTTGTCAGCTTTTAGTTCACAATGGAAAAGCTAGTTCTGAGGCCTGAGAGGGCTCATGTCCATCGAGTCTTCCATGAGGTGGAGGCACGCACTTCGGTGTGAGAGAAGTCGGACGGAGGGAACTGCCCACTGCTCTGCAGAACAGACACGCAGGACGGAATCACGCCAGGGAGCATACACTGTTTTCTTGAGCGTCAGGTACTGGTCAGGCATTGATGAAATGTCTATAGTTCCCAGTGCTCCGCCCCTTTCTCCCCCACCATTACCTCTGTTCTCCCCTTCTCCTTCTCTTCCCCTCCTTTCCCTTCCCTCTTGCTATCTTTTGAGACACCATCTTACTATGTAGTCCAGGCTGGTCTCAGACTCTTGGTCCTCCTGCCTTATCCTCCAGAGTGCACCCAGTTCTAGTTCTATTTTTACAAACTTTATCCTTGTCTCTAAATCTTGATAATGTTGCTGTCACTGGTGGTAAAATGTTCAGAGGATAATTAAAGAATGTCTAATGTGCTTACTCAATGTTACTCTTGAGAATTTGGCTTTGGATTGTGTTTTATGTACATGATATGCAGTAGAGGCTCTATATGTATACATACCAATATGGATATATTCATTCTGAACATTCACTTTCATTTAACTGTTCTGATGCAATTTAGGAAACAGCTTACTTTAAGCGTTTTTACCATGAAGAGACCTGATTCTCCAGTGTTTATTCACTAACTGGTTCCTCTTTCCTTATAGCTCAGGCCTGGGAATTTTATTTTGTAGACTCTCTCAGGGTTTAATGAGTTTCCTTTTGACACTTATCCATGGAACCAGCAGTGTTAGTTCACATTTTAAATATCTCCTTTTTTATTCATCTCTTTCTCATTTCATTCATCCATTGGAACCAAAACTGTCCTTTGACCTTTAATTTTTTTTATCTCATTGTGTGACCTCGTAGGGTGTTGTTTTGAGGTAACCAAAACATTTGATCCCAATCTCATGAGCTTAGCCTTGCTTGCTTCTTGCCATGGTCATAACCCATTGACTACATCAATTATTTGTATATTGCACCAAATCTGAAAGCTAGCCTTTAAAGTTTGGTCTTGTACCTGTGATCTCACTAAAATTACTTGGTATGCCCTTATAAATCTGAAACACAAAATTTTATGGTCTTGAAAAAAAAAACTACCAGTTAAATATTTCAGAAATGTAGTAGCTATAGAATAGCAAATACCTATTTCTATGGGAAAAGTGTGGTGTGCAGGGGAGCAACCTAGAGTTATTTAATTTTTTTTTTAAGTTGGGCTCTTTTGGATTCAAGATATTTTTGTAATGGATCTAAATTTGTATCAGTTGGCTACTATTTCCAGGACAGCCTTGTCACAGCCACACATCATCTCATCTCAGCAGCTCCAGTAAATAATTGGGCCCGTGAGACATAGTTTTCCTCCTCTGCAGCGCCGCCCTGCAACCTCTGGCTTCTCCCCTGGGTCTGCAGGGTGATAGGACTGTTGCCTCTGGCCTTTTCATTTATTATTTATTTCATTTATTGCAGGGCTCAGAACAAATTGGAATTGGCAAAAATGGAGAGTGAGACTGTGGAATGATGATAGCCAAGGTCCACATGATTACTCAAAACTGCAGGAGAGCAGAGAGGCAAGAAAGGATAGGTAAGTACAACAAAAGGGTTCAGAGCAGCCGGCGTGAGATGCTTTTAGAAAATTCTTGTGCCTCTGTGAAGTTTTCAGATCTTCATACAGTCAACTGGCTGAGTAAAGCTTTTTCTTCTTTTCTTTCCTTTTTCCCTCTTGTCTCTCAAAATACAGCCTCCATGACAGAAGAGTAGCCAGGAACTGACCAGGAAGCAGACACATCTGTGAAGCCTGCTTCCCACAGGCAGCACCACTCTCCAAGCTTCAGTTTCTCTACCAACCACCCATAGATTGCTTACTCATTCCAGTCCCTGAAATAAAAAAGGGTCAGCTTACTGCTTAGTTGTAGTACACTGTTTTCAGTGGTTTCCAATTTTATCATACAATAATAATCTTGGATCAATTCTTCTGAAGACAGGAAGATTTTATTGTTTTTTAAATTCTAGTTTTGTAATGCTTGGGATTGAATACAGGACCTCACATAGTATATGCTAAGCGAGTGCTCTACTACTGAACCATTTCCCCAGCCTCAGACAATCAGCTTTTAAATTGTGTGATCCCAACCGATATCAAGGAAGGCATTTGATTCATAAATGAGAACATGTAAAGTAACTGTCTCACCTAATAGCCAATTTAGTTGGTGCTTGATACAAGTGGCTTCTTTTTCTTCTGATATAGACATGAATTAAATAAGCATGCATTCGCATATACACCCCCACACTCACTGAGAAGCCGGTGAACATATATTATGTCTCTCAGGAATTTTTGATTTGCACATGGATCTCATGCTATGTATTCACATAATGTGTGATCCTGGGAAAAGTAACAGACAAGCATGTTTACCACTGGCATTCAGAGGAGGAGGAAACAGATTTAGAAAGAAACATAAATGGGGAAATAACTTACCTAGGATTCAAACCCAGATCTGCCTAACTGCTAATTCTACTCCTAACAACTATGTAAGACTGCCTCGTAGGCCATGCATATAACTCGTGCCATCCATTTGAATATATATTTATATGGTGCCATGTAACACAGCTCCACTAAACACAGTTAAACAAATAAAGAACAACCGTGGCTTACTCTTGCTCAGTTTCTATGGGCAGGAGAATTAGTCGAGTCCTTTTTAATATTGTGTGTGTGTGTGTGTGTGTGTGTGTGTGTGTGTGTGTGTGTGTGTATGTATATGTGTGGTGTGTATGTGTACGTGTGTGTGTATGTGTGTATGTATGTGTGTGTACGAGTGTGTGTGTGTGTGTGTGTGTGTGTGTGTGTGTGTGTGCAGGTGTCTGAAGAGCCGAGAGAGAGCATCAAATTCCCTGGAGCTTGTGCTCACTTCTGCAGCCCATATACTAAAATTGGAATAGTACAGAGAAGATTCCCCTGCACAAGAATGATACTCAAATTTGTGAAGTGTTCCATATTAAAATAAAGAAAGAAAAAGAAATTCCCTGGAGCTGGCATTATGTGCCATTGTGGGCGACCTGACACGAAGTCTGGGGACTGAATTTGAGTTCTCTAAAAGAGCAGCAAGTGCTTAACTACTGAGCTGTCTCTCTGGTTCCCAATTCAGACATGTCTTATCTAAGCAGCTCTGACTTCGGGTCTCCTATTCGGTTGCTGCAGGATGTTGACTATGACTGTGGTTTTCTGAAGGCACAATTTATGCGGGAAGATTAACTTAGAAGGTAGATCATTTACATGGTTAGTAATTTGGTACAAGTCCAAAATGCATGCTTCTGTGCTTTCTGTGTGGCTCATTCCAGGGCACTGTTGAGCGTCTCTTAACATGGTGGCTGATTTCCTCCATAGTGGGTGACACAAGGATCAAGGCTGAATTAGCAATACCTCTGACAAACCGGCCTCAGAAGTGACATGACCCAGCTT